GGGGGGAGGGGCGAGGTTGTAATGTACGACTGGAAGTGGGGATGGTGGTGAAGGAAAGGGTTGCCGCAATGGCTTTTGCATCGGGAAAAGGATCCTCTATTTTCATTTTGCTGCGCTACCTCCGTGCCTTCCCATGACCCTCGGCTAAGCTTTGTTTTGTGCTCCGCAGCACTGGGTTAGATGAGTTTCAGCGAACCCCACCAGCCTCCCAAACCACTTACTGAAAGCTTCCCTGAAACCAACCACGTACGTAAACAAAATAAAATAAAAAAGTTCGAATGCACCTTTTTTGAGTAAGAACAGAAAACTCCAACGAAATAGCCGATCGTCCAACGACTAATCGTCCACGCAGCGGCGGAAGGAAGGGCGAATATAATCCGTGACCTCGGCACCAAAGGCTAAACAAAGGCGTTTATTCGCAGAGTTCTCTGGAGGAAAGACGGAGAAAGCGTGACACGACGGCGACGTTTGTTGATTCCCTGCATCGCGGGCGCCAGCAAAGCAATAGAAGGGCGGGGGTCAACGTTTCCCACATGCCATCCACCGCCATGGGCAGGTTCATCCTTTGGCCCAAAGAACACGCACCTGCGAAAAAAGCGCAGAGCGTAGTGTACCCGACAGCATGTGCCGACTGCCCCGCTTCGTACGTTGGAGAAACCAAGAACTTCCCTGAAAGAATGCGGCCGCACAAGGATGACCTCCATCAATGGAACAGCGAACGGAGCGAAACGGCAGAACACTCCGACCAGTTTAACCCCCATACCAGACCCGAGGGCGCGGTGTCTAGCTGGTTGCTTTGTTTTGTACTCACCCTGCATTCCTTGGGATGCACAAATAGCGCGAAAGCTTAGGTACGAGAAACTTGGGCCTGGGAAGCGCCCGTGCCGTCAAGATTTTTGCAGTGTGGACTGGAAGAGAACAATGACGGGTAAGGGACTTCCGGAAGTTTGAATAAAAAAAGAAAAATACTATACAAAAACGCGGGCGTAGCTCATCGAAATCAGAACTGGTGGCCCTTGGCCTCCGAAATGGCCCGCCGCGCGCCAGTAGGCAATCGCGGAAGCCTACATTAGCGCTAATAATAATAATAATATAATAATAATAATAATATTATTTAATATTATTATTATTATTATTATTAATATTATTAATATTATTATTATTATTATAATTAATATTATTATTATTATTATTATATAATAATAATAATAATAATAATAATAACAAACATTATCACGGGCATAATGAGGGGCGCGGAAATATATTTGCCCTGGGCGCCGTCCTATCTAGTTACGCCACTGGTTACGGGGCTCCCTTTTATCTTACTTTCTCTCTCTTAAGAATCACTTACAAAGTGTAGCTTTTCTTTGCCTTTCGTGTGCTCTCGCGCTCCCAGTTCGCTGAACGAATATCCTATCCTGTTACTGAAGCATGCCGTGAATGATATATGTACCTTTTCAGGTAAAACTATATGATCAATGTCAAAATGGCTTCTTTACGTAAGGCTTATAGCAGCACAGCTTTTTCGTACTATCTGAAGGCTCAGAAACTGTACTCGTTCAACATATTCATTGGAAGATACTTGATAGAATAGAAGCAGTCTCTGCCATGGCTCGTCCAACTAGAAAGAATGAAAGAGTATTCTTTTGTAAAGCCTGAGACTGCGTGCCCTTCGACTTGCTTTCTCGATGTCTGGTCAATTCCTGGCACTTCCATGAAACGCAAAAGTAGCCATTCAATGTCTCAAATGCATTTTGAACTCATGATTGAAAAGTTTAGTGGTCCTCTTGATTAGCCGTTGATGTTACAGGTGCTACGGTTAAACATGCTAGCGTTGAGCTAATTAGGTTGGCGAAAGATGTTTTGACAAGGTCAATATTTAAATAATTCTAAACGTTTTGAACGGCTAGTGGCGTGACGACCGTCATGCGAAGTGAGAAAACGAAATTACATGAAAGAGCTCCCAAAAAAGCTTTTTTGTGTAGCGTTAATATATACGGATTCATTTTGGCACTGTTTCCCGTGGAGGGTACGGCAGCAGGGCCGCAGGAATCGACGGGGATCAATTCATGTAAGAAAATACCAACAACAAAAATAACGTAACTGGGCTCGCCATTCACGGTTCCCACGTGGTGGTGGACAATCGAAAGTCACGTCTTCTGTAAACGAAAATCATGAATTGCTTTGAGCTGATTGCGGCTGCTCAATTTATGTTCCTCCTATACGCCTGTAAAATGCTCCCTAGAAATGTACAGGACTTTAACTGATATATTTGCAGCCCCAAAAGACCTTGCGTCCTTGTTGAGAGGCAATCATTGAGTGGTATCCCACTCGTGGCCAGTGTCGTTAATCACGGGACGGGGGTTTCAGAGGGCTACTCTAAATCTCCTATAGAACATATATGCTTCAAGTTCCTCACCTGTCTTGTGCTCACTCGGAAGCGGAGGAAGGGGGGACACTAACTAAAAGCGCCCCCTTTGAAATTTATCCTTGAAACATCATAAGTCCGAATTGCTTGGAATTCAACATCTTCAAATGCGAAGCATTTCTTGGCGAACTGCGGCGACTTTGAGCGTATCTATCTATCTATCTATCTATCTATCTATCTATCTATCTATCTATCTATCTATCTATCTATCTATCTATCTATCTATCTATCTATCTATCCGCCTACGACTTTTAGCTCTCCTGGCCGTTTCGATAATGGTATCAGTACGAAACTTGGTATGGCATAACATGACTGTATGAAGAATATATCTGTCTAGTCATGACATGAAAATCATGATATGTATGTCACGAATGTCACGATCTAAATTTCATTGTCCTGTAGCTCTTGCGGTGGTTTCGTTCACATGGCATGTTGTAAAACTGGTATGGTATGATATGATTGCATGCCAAACACAAGCGACCGACCCTAACATAAAAATCATGACGTCCGTGTCATGTAACAAGACTACGTGCCACGCTTATGATGCGCTCGCGGCAGTTTCGCCAGCGTCACATATACCAAATTTGGTATTACCGTGCGTGAATGGATTACGAAGGTATGTGACTGGTGCAAACATGATATTCATGAGATGCGTGTCATGTCTGACTACATCTTACGCTCATGATGCACTCGCGGCCGCTTCGCTAGCTTCACATGCACCAAACTCGGTATTACGCGACTCAAACGGATGACATAGGTAAATGACGCATACAAACATGATAATCATGACGTGATTGTCATGTAACAACATGGCTACATGCCACACTCATGATGCGCTCGCGGCCGTTTTGCTACCTTCACATGTGCAAAAGTTTGGTATTACGTCACGTGAATGAATGACGAAGGTATTTGACTAGTGCGAACATGATAATCATGAGATGCGTGTCATGTAATAACATTTATACACACCACATTCAAAGGTACTAATACACTTCGACGTAAGCTTGTCCGCGTGTGCGCCGGCGTTCGTTTTATTGCGCCACGCCGGCGATGCCACACCAGGCGCCAATATCTTCCTAGTATTCTGGCCACTGACCTTCATTTCGGATCTGCATGCCATATACTCGCAGGCGCGCGCCGCGCTGCGTTGCTTTGACGCATGCGCGTTTGAGCGCACACGGCGTCCCTCCGTCACCAAGAGAGGCAGACGCGGTGCTGTCTAAGTAACGTCGTCAGCAGGAAATGCGGCATGTTTCATTTCGCGCCGGTTGCCACCGGACCGCGCCGACGGACGCCGGCCGCGCCTGGCGTCACACTATAGAGTGCTCGCGTTTTGCAAGCGTGGCGTCACTACGCCCAGCCTGCGCGTGCGTCAACGTCGCATCGGAGTATATCGGGCTCTTCATGACGTGCTCGCCGCCGTTGCGCTAGCTCCACATGCACAAAATTTGGTATCACGGGAATTGAATAGATGACGAAGGTAAATGACACGTCCAAACCTGATAATCATAATATCCGTTTCATGTAAAACATGACTACATGCTATGCGCATAGTACGCTCGCGGCCGTTTCACTAACTTCATATATACCAAAGTTGGTATCAGGTGACGTTAATAGATGACGAAGGTAAATGAAGCATTCAAACATGATAATCATGACATGAAAGTCAAGTACAGCATAATTTACCTCCGCCTCTTGACGTTGTGATGATTTTAAAGTGACATATCACCCTTCCTCATTCGTGTTTCGCATATCATCGATTCCCACTGTAGGTGGGATCTGCCTTTTTTTTTTTTTCTTCTCAAGAACCACATCCATCCATCCATTGAAAGCGCGACCCGGTTTGCAAACCCTCGGGCCACTTTATGCGCTTCCTCGTTACGGGGGTTTCCCGAGTGAGCGGGGACCCAGGCCTTCATTAGAACCTTCATTGGAACCGGGCTCCCCGATAGGAGAGGCAGTGACCTACTATAACGAACTTACGAATATGTATAAAGATGACAGGAGATTATATCCCATACCGCACAGCAACCTCACGAGAGCACAGGCCACTATCCTCCACCGAATTCAAACTAACAGCCTAACCACTCCTCACCGCTTAGCGATATTCACAGGTGAAGATGTTGACTCAACATGCAAAAATTGCGACAAAAATGCCATAGCAAACCAAAGTCACATTCTCTAGGAATGCGAGGGCCTTCCCCCACCCAGAGAGCTTCTGCCAGCTCACTCCGAAACGGCATGGCAGACCTTAATACGGTCCCCCGACGAGAAACTGCAGAAAGCAGTCATTACATGGGCACAAGAGGTAGCCGCAGACAAGCAGCCAGCTGGAAACCCATGCAATCTCTTTTAATAAAGTTGTATCCTCTTCCTCCATCCATTGATAAAATAGAGGAGGCGCCAAGGAGGTTATACTATGGTCCCTAGAATACACTGGTTCTAGGGATCATAGTTATATTAATCTTGGGAGGCGCTGACATTACCGACAGTTTTGAGCCCTTCTTAAATTTCCCGCCAATCACTCTCACTAGAATAGGGCCGTTAAAATAACATCACCTCTACTTACCGTGAAAATAAAGCTTTCACGGTGCCCGTCGCAATAGCCAAGAAAACTTGCTTGGCCTGCTTGTAGTTTCGCCCCGTTTCGCCCATTCTGCTGCGTTCTGTGCGCCGCGATGTCAAAACTGTTTGAGTTGTTGACCGATCTCTCTTCGAGGCTCGAACAATTGGTGTGATGAGAGGGCAAGATTCCGCCGCGCAGTCATGAGACACCGCCGGTGACTCTTGGACTGTTGGCAGAGCTTCAGACCTTTCCATCTACAGGTCAGTGGCACTCCCGCATGTTGCCTCTAGCCTTGCGAGTTGCTGAGAATAAATCATTTATAGCTGCCGCGTGCCTACGGCCTTGCCTTGCAAGGCTGCCTTGCTCTCGGCTGTGCGACTCCGTCACCTGCGTTATGGCCGAGCACCACTTTCATTTATCTCACACAGAGCTTCGATTAAGGCACTGACAAAAATTATTTGTCGTCTGTCTTGAGTGAGCGCTGCTAAATTTGCTATTTTGGTAAGCTTAATAACCATGATACCGCCTCTCACGCATGTTCTCCACTGCGTCACGCAAATGTGATGAATTAGCTCCCGTGAACTGCTGCGGGCGCGCATTGCTCAGCTATTGCGCGCATTATTTTGTATGTCAGACCGCGGCTAAAAATAAAGCGCCAGCGTGGAAACGTGTACGGCTGTCTTGCATGTTTACGTGATAGATTGCATTTCCTCCGCCGCAATCTCGACAGCTAGACCAGTGGTCGTCCAAACGTCGATATTGTGCAGGGACCGTAGGCTATCACGATAGTTATAGCGTGAGAACAGAACGACGACAAAGAAACAAGAAGGTCGTCGTTCTGTTTTCGCGCTATAACTATCGTAACGTCATACCAACTCGCCCAAGCTGCCACACTTCTACGTATGCTATCGCCAGAACCCACTTCGATACAGGGCTGCCCCTGAAGCACGATTTTCACTCGTGCAGATAAAACTGTGTGCCGGTGTCGCCAAACCCGTGTATGTCGTTCCTTTCTGTCTTCGTTGTTCGAGCGCCTGGGATTAACCGGGATTTCACTACGCGCGCGATTTGCAACAGTTGCGAGAAATACACGTTGAAATTCTATATCTCTGTCTGCGTTCGAGTGGTGCTGCGATACACTATCCTCAAGCGTGCTCAGGTTCATCGTAGGAAAACCGCACTTCGACTTCTAAAGGCGTCAGAGAAAAGCGACGCAACGCCGAGAATTCATGGTCGTGTTGTATTTCATTCTACCGTTCTCTACTTCGTTGTGTGATGGCAGTCGCTCAATGAGCCCGCGAAGCCTTGAAAGTTCCACTTTCCGATTGCCGGCCATGTAAACAAGAGGCGATTTCCAGGGTAACACTACTTCATAACGCCCTTTTCAAAGAACAGCAGTGTTCAGTTCTAAAATCTGGGCGTCGCGCTGGGACATTGGCGGGTCGAAAATTACGATGGTATCAAGGTCCCAAAACCTTTGCAAGGTGTCTTTGTGGGAAATTTCGTACCGGCTTTGTTACATGCGCATCCACCACCAGATAAAGAACCCTGCAGAGTCCAGCCTATCTTGATGCTAATGGTGACTGATGCAAGATTTTTTCTAAGTAACTAAGGCACCGTAATGCCAAGCCATATCTTTCATCCGTCCTGACATGCCATGACAATGACAGTGATGGCAATGAAGAACAAGCGAGTTTCAGGCCACACGTTGTGGACAACTCCGTTTATATGACAACATAATATTATCACCTAAGTTCAAGATGTCTGCAGTAGAATATTGTTGATGAGCCATGGAGCTTTCTTTGGGGGGACTTGCCCCACAGCATTCAACTTCTTGTAAGCATTAGTCGATGATGGTGCTTCCGAGTTACGAGCGTTGCCAAGGTGTGTCTGTGTTTGCATGCCTGACATTGCCCTCTCCATCAGTAATCATGGATGATATGTCCTTTTGTCATGGACTGGAAATGTTGACCATCTATCTGTCACCAGTTTGTTACGTTTCACTGTAAGGGTCATGTCACTCGTGTGGTCCTCAGTCTTGCGCTCGAAAGTGAAGCAGAAAAAAAAAAAGAGCATAAGAAAGAAGACTTCTTCTTGTTCTGAAAAACCAATGCAGCAGACGTCTGAGATTGCTTCTCGAAAGATCTGTTGAGTACTGGAACACTTTAGAAAAATATTGATCATCAAACCTTTCTCAACGATCATCATTGATCTGGAGAAACTTCATCAGTCGTTCAAGTTCCTGTTCAAAACAAGCCTGGCTGGTTTTCATCACATTCTCCATATCTTCATTTTTTTGCTGTGATCTACTACGATGTCAAGTGCTATGACATCGAACAGCGCTTCACTCGGCATAACTACGTACGAAGGCTTTGTGACACTAAGGCTATGCAGTCGCTTCCCATTCAGTTGCACTGTGCCAAAAGCTTTCACCGCACAATCACATTGCTTTGCTTGCTGATCTTTATGGTGCTAGCATGCGCAAGTTCTTTAGGTATTGCTGCTCAATGATTCTCATATTTTCGAAACGATGCTTGAAAACTTTCAGTGCATCATTGTAACAAGAATCTGTCACCTGAATGCTTGCAATGGTCTGAGCGGCAGGTCCATCCAGTAGTGAGACCAAGTAGTGAAGGTTGTCTAAACTGGATACCCTCACATTCTAATGCACCAAATGCAAGAACTTATCCCACAAGGGTAGCCGCTTACTCATGAAACGGAGCTCTGACTAGGGGAGTCATGCTCTGAACTCCCGTGGTAAAAGTCATTCATGTCTGACCATGCACTTATGAGACCATGCGCTCGTGGCTGAAGGTGTAGATGATGATCCAGGCATAGCGAAAGTCATCGGAATGTTGATGTGGTGCTTAAGCAATGCCATCGAGCTGTTCACAGCGTCATCATACTGTGGGACCACCTCATAGTTGTTTGCCACGAAGTCTTCAGGGATTCAAGCTCGTTGTTCTGAACTTGAAGTTTCAAGTTGCCGATGCACAAGTGGCTGTGCAGAATACTAAGTCCAGAAAGCTAGAACTGGTTGGACTGGAGCACCTGGTTGACCTCATGGATTATATTTGAGTTTAATGTTCGCCACAAATCCAGCTTTCTCTTTGCCCTCTTCATACCACTCAAGCTCAAAGGTTTGTTCGCCCACGCCAGAAATCAAAGGCTTGGGTTGGTGTGGTTCTTGAGTTTCAGCACCAAAATTGATGTGAGAAAATGGCACTTTGGCATCTAGAGGTGCCAGAGAAAAGGGGTGCAATAGCGAGCATGCATATAAATAAGCACTTTAGCTTAATGGAACATATTGTTGGGCTAGTTGGTTCATTCTGAAAAAATATTAATGATGCAATCCACGTTGACTAAATAAGAAATGAAGAAGCACATGCAATTTCGTCTCAACACTCTCTGTTTCTTCGTCGTTCTTTACATTATTCTATACTTGTGGCTTCCCTGCTAGCAAGCAATATACAGCATTCATATCGACCACACGCCCCAGCACCGTATCATGCTTGAAGCTTTGTGCATGCACAACTAATCGAAAGATTACCTATGTGCGTGTCGAAGAAAATTGCCCGTCACACCGATAAGCGGGAGTCCCCCAGTGGTATCCCATTCATTTTTGCACTTTTTGATACCCTGGAAAATGTTACGTTCGCTATTATAACAATGGCTATTGTTCCTGCAGCATGCAGATGTGCAAACTAAGCTTTTGGGAAATCTGTTGGTCTGTCGCAATGCTTGGATCCACTTATCGTCAAAGCTGAGCCACCTCTTGATTCTGATATAGGTGGAGAAGTATGCAGCTTTTTTTAAGAAGAACTTAGGTAAAGCACTGCTGGTGTCTGTTTGCTGGGTTTGTCAGTGCTATTTTTAGCTTTGTCAGTTAAAGAAAAGACATATCTGAAATCATTGCTTTAGCATAGGCAGATTGTTGTCATTAGTTGTGACGTGCATGCACTGTGCTGTATCTTTATGTGTTGTCCCTTTGGTTTTATAGGTCTACCGCTATTATATTGTCGCGGTACAACGCGAATAAAACACAGGTACACCTTGGGACGACGAAAGCAGCGTGTCCTCGACAGCTCAGTCACAAGATCGTCTTTTTTCAGCCTCGAGAGAAGCTAGAGGCCCACTACCTCGTGCCCACTAAATGCCCCATCATCGTTATCGTCCACATGTAGACACGCGTCATTTGCCTCTCTCCCAAAGAGCATCGCCCCGATGCGCAGTCTGTAATGCAGTTTTTTTTCTAAACTAAAGTATCATGCAATCACTCGCTGACGTAGGGTTTCATGCGGACTACGTGAACGAGTTCAGGATGGTGCTGGCGACGCCTTGTACTCTACGAACAGTCGGGAACAACTTCGTAAGTGACATCGCTCAGTCATCGCACAACTAGGTACGGTCCAAAGTATCTTCTTAAGAGTTTTTCAGAAAGTCCTCGTTTTCGTATGGGCGTCCAGACCCATACTTTGTCGCCAGTTTGGTAGACGACTGTTCTGCGGTGAGCATTGTAGCGGCCTGCATCGTAGTCTTGCTGCTGGCTGATCCGTAAACGTGCAAGTTGCCTAGCTTCTTCTGCGCGTTCTGTAAACGTGTCGGCGTCCGGGACGATGTCGTCGCCTTCATGCGGTAACATTGCATCTAACATGGTTCGTACCTCCCGTCCATGAACGAGGCTGAAAGGTGTCATGCGGGTCGTTTCTTGCTTGGCCGTGTTGTATGCAAACGTTATGTAAGGCAAGATTGTATCCCAATTTTTGTGTTCGACGTCAACGTATATCGAAAGCATGTCTTCAATGGTTTTGTTTAGACGCTCTGTCAGCCCGCTCGTTTGTGGGTGGTATGCGGTGGTCTTACGATGCGTTGTTCCACTCAGCATCAAAACATGGTCCAAAAGAGCTGCTGTAAATGCGGTTCCTCTGTCTATGATTACGACGGTTGGTGCACCATGCCTCAGTACGATATTCTCGATAAAAAATCTTGCCACCTCCGCTGCTGTACCTCTCTGGATAGCCTTTGTCTCGGCATAACGGGTCAAATAATCCGTCGCGACGATAACCCATCGGTTGCCTGCAGTAGACGTAGGGAGTGGGCCCAAAATGTCCATGCCGATCTGGTGGAATGGAGTCATTGGGACCTGCACGGGTTGCAGGAGGCCAGCTGGTTTAGTTGGCGGTGACTTGCGTCGCTGGCAGTCGAGACAAGTACGAACGTGGTGCTTCACGGCTGTGGTTAGTCTTGGCCAGTAATACCT